ATGTACAAATGCTCCATAAAGAACCAAGGAGAGCTCTGCTTGGGATGCGGGGGCTAAATGCTCCAGACCATCCATCCCTGGATGCCCCATATTTTGTGTTAGGGGAGCTGTGTCTGAATCACCCCCTAAACCACCCCAACAGAATATGGCCTGAGGCCCTGGGGAACTGCTGGAGGGGCCGGAACAAGGGAATGACATGATTTGATCTACAGCTTTGCAATTTCACTCTGGCTGCTCTGCTGTCTGTAGGCTGCAGGGGTGCAAGGGTAGAAGCAGGGAGACCAGTTAGGAGGCCGTTTAGTGATCCAGGTCCCAAGGGATATGCTGGTGGTGTGGACTAGCGTGGAGGCAGAGGAGAGAATTGAATTGGAAGTAGAATCCATGGAACCAGGTTATGGCTTGGCTGATGGAGAAGATGAATGACTCTCGTCTGTTTTTGCCTCCAAAACCCACCACTGGGCTCCTGACTGATAACTGGGAAGACAAAAGAGGTGCAACGTGAGGATGGGGAAAACTAGAGGGTGACCAGATTTGAGGTTCCACTTTGGGCATGGTGATGTCGGGACATATCCAAGTGAACATGTGATCCGCGCTGGTCCAGAGATGAGATTCCAATGCCTTCCTCACATACGGGAAAGGGGAACTCAGCTAGGGAGAGTGTATGAGGTAAAATCAGACTCAGGGCTGAGCGCTGAGGCCTCTTATATTTGGAGGTTAGAAAGAGGTGGAGGTGGGCAGTACAAGAGTAGATAATAGAGATGATCTTTGAGACAAAGAGAGGTGAACATCCCCAGAAAAAGAGAGGAAAAATGAAGGGCTTATAAGGACACAGATCAGGCTTACTTGGGTAATCTCAAGTTCTGCTCATGGGGCAAGAATTTCTTTAACCGCAAGGGTCTAAACCCTAAGAGAAGCAGGTGCCCACCCTTCGGGGTCCCCAGGCAAGTGAAGAAATGGAGTTAGAAATTTAAAATCTTCCCTCAAGTAAAAGGTCCAGATGGCTTCACTGGTGAATTCTATCAAATATCTAAAAATTAATACCAATCCTTCACACACACTTTCAGAAATAGAGTCAGAAACACTTCATCCATATATGAGGCCAGTATTACTGGTCAGACATCAAAAGAAAACTACCGAAAGAATCTCGAGTGAACATGGATGCAAAAACACTTAAAATATTAGTGAACCACATCCACCAACACAAAAAGGATTATATACCATGACTGAGTTGAACTGACCCCAGATATACAATGTTGGATTAACACTTTAAAAATCAATTAATGTTATATACCATAGTCAAGGTTAAAGGACAAAAGCCACATGATCATCTCAATAGATGTAGGAATAGTATCTGATAAAATACAATACCAGTTCATGACAAAAATTCAACAAACTAAGGATAGAATGAAACTTTCTCAACTTGAAAAAGTTCACTGACAAAAAACCCACAGCTTAACATATGCAATGGTGGAGGACTAAATGTTCTCCCTAATGCCGAGAACAGGGCACGGATGTCCATTTTGTTGCCACTTCTACACAACATTGTGCTGGGGGTTCCAGTCATTGCAATAAGGCAGGAAAAAAGTAAAGTCATCCAGATTGGAAAGGAAGAAGTACAACTGTCTTTATTCAAAGAAAATCCCAAGGAATACACATTTTCTAAAAAAGATAAAAATAAATGAGTTTAGTGAGGTCATAGGATATAAGATCAATCTAAAAAAATGGCATTTCTGTATACCAGTACCAAAAATCTCTGAAAATAAAATTAAGCAAACAACTCCAACCATAACAGCATTAAAAAAAAAATACTAGGAACATTTAAACAAAGAAATGCAAGACTTGTACACTGAAAATGACAAAATATTGCTGAGAGAAACCAAAAACCATTTAAACAAAAGATATTCTGTGTTTGTGAATTGGAAGATTTTATATTGTGAAGATGGCCATTCTCTCCAAATTGATCTAAAAATTCAACACGATATCCATTAACACCCTAGAAGGCGCTTCTGTATAAACAAGCTGATCATAAAAGTTATATGGAAACGCAAAATACCTAAAATAGTCAAAAGATTTTGAAAAGGAACAAAGTTGGTAGACTTACATTATCCAGTTTGAAGACTTACTTCAGAGCTGGAGAAATACATACCATACAATCAGTGTGGTAGTGGCTCATAGACAGGTATGTAAGATCGACAACAGAATTGAGAGTCTAGAAATAAACTTACATGTGGTCAAGTGATTTCAACAAAGGTACCGAAGCAACTTAGTGGAGGAAGGGATAGTCTTTATGACAAACGTGCTGAGAAGAATGGGTATCCACGCACAAAAAGATGAATTTAAAAAAATGAACTCAAAATGGATCATACACCTACATAAGAACTAAAACTATAAAACTTCTAGTATTTCTTAATGGTCTTGGGTTGGTCAAAAAGTTCTTAAGATGTGACACCAAAAGCGTGATCCATAGAAGAAATCATTGATAAACAAAACTTTGTCAAAATTAAAAACCTCCACAATTCAAAAAACACCATGGTGAAAAGACAAGCCACAGACTGGGACAAAATATTTGCAAATCATATACCTGATAAAAGATTTATATTCAGAATACTTACAACTCATCGATAAGATATGTAACCTGATTTTAAAATGGGCAAGATTTGGATATATCACTAAAGATACACAAATGGCTAACAAGGACATAAAAGACACTCAAAATTACTAGTTGTTAGAGAAATGCAAATTAAAACCACAGTGAGAAGCCACTTCACATCCACTAGAATGGCTATAACCAAAAAGAGAGATAATTCCAAGAACTGACAAGGATGTGGAGAACCCTGAAACCTCATACATTGCTGGTGGGAACGTCAAATGGCACAGCTACTTTAAAAAAGCTCACCAGTTTCTTAAAAAGTTAAACTTACCATATGATCCAGCAACTCTACTTCTAGGAGTCTACTGAAGATGAACAAAAATGTATGTCCACAGAGACTTGTACATCACAGCACTATTATTCATAATAGCCCCAAACTGGACACAATCTAAATATCCATTAATTAGTGGGGGAAAAGAGATAAAATGTGGTATATTCATAAGGTGAAAGACTATTCAGGAACAATAAAAGAAACTGATACATTCTACAATATTCTACAACATGAACCTCAAAAACATTATTTGAAAGAAAGAAACCAGACACGGAGGACCACATATTGCATGGTCCCATTTATATGAGCTGTCCAAAATAGGCGAATCTAGAGACAGAAGGCAAAATAGTGCTTGCCTGAGGATGGGAGAGAGAGCGGGGATTAACTAACTGCACACGAGCAGAAGGGAACTTTTCAGATGAAAACATTCTAAAAATGGGATAGTGGCAATGATCGCACAACTCTGTACATTTATTAAAAATCATAAAAATTGCACACTTAAAATGAATGATAAGGTATGTAAATTATAACTCAGTAAGTACAACTCTTTAAAAATCAGCGATGCAAAGCAGAAGACTAGGAAGCATGATTAAGCGACCCTTGAATGTGGATTTACCTGATTGTCCTCAAGTTCAAGACACGGTTGTTGCGCCTCTTCTATGTGGCTGGTGCTGGGTGCACAATGATGGAGACTCTCAAGGAGCTCGCCATCTACTGGGCAAGACAAGCAAAGAGGCCGTTGCCCTGGTGGGATAGTCAGGGACAAAGCATCAGACACGTTTTCCTGCAGGGGTGACATCTAAACTGACACTCTAAAGGGCTGTTTCAGGGAGGCAGAGTGGGAAGAAGGGCCAGCTCACGGCCGCCTTTCATGCTATGCTATGGAACTTGGGTTTTTATCCTGAACTGCAAACCGAGGAAAAGGAAATTAAATAGGGAACTGAGCTCCATTAAAGAGAAAGACATCTCACATGAGATGAAATCGGCAACAGTTAAGTCTGGGATAATATCTATTGAGAACTGCACGATTCCCTTGCCATTTTTGGGTTGTGTCATGTTATCGTGAGCAGCAGTAAAAACCAGCAGTGCTTGTCTTTGGGGTGAAGGGGAATGGGCTCTGCAATAGTGTAAGGAGTCCAGAGGAAATGCAGCCAGGCAGACGGGTGCAGCCGAAGCTCACCAGCCCACTCTTCACCCACGGGCTCTTTGGTTCTGAGCAAGCGCTGTAGTTTACGTTATTGTTTTGTAGGCATTTGACCTTTCTTCCGCAGCACAGAGCCCGCAGATAATCTGGCTTCCTGTGTCAGCAGAGATGCCTGCTTCTATACTCTAAACATGGTTTTTTCTTTCCCTCTCTGCCCAGTCTGCTTCTCTGAAGTCCATCACAGCTCTGGGCAGCAGACTCCTAAGCACTGGGCACAGAGGTTAGATGATCGGCTGCTTCAAAGGTCAAAGGCTCTGCTCCCCTCCGGTGAACCGGACGGTGACTGTGATTTGGTCTCTTGATACCAGGTAGCTGAACCAGGTGAGTACTCAGCCCTTCTGATTTTGTTAAAGTGAACCTTGCTATCTATTCTGCAGGGCTTCCTGAAGGGACAAGTGAGAATCGACAGTGTTCATACGGGAAACATGTGCTGGTGGGGTGTATGTGGAGGGACGTACCCTCCTCAAAACTGAATCAAGTGCACCAAAGTTAACTACCTCTGGCCTAGAGTATGAAAAAGGAGCTGGAGGTTTTGGTTCCAGGCAGTTAGGAGGTCAGCCACATCCCACTGGGGGACTCTGGAGTTTTACGGTACTGAGTGAAGAAAAGGGGAAATCCACGAGAAGTGGTGATGGGGACTGGAGCAAATATGCGACATGGCTAATGAAATCTTTTGCACATTTCTCACGGAACCCATTCTTATTAAATAAAACACACACGTCTCCTCGAAGACTGCTTTTGTTATATTTGGCTTTTCCCTTATTTTCACAGGCATATTTTTACCTTGTCCACTATATTTTTTCACGGAATTACAATAAAAATAAGATTTACTTCTAATGTGTATTTAAAAAATAAATCAAGAAGGGGCAAGAAGATATTAGAATGGTATTCTTTATTTCTCTTTGGTCTCTTAACACAAAAGACATGCGTTCTATAAATAAAAGGAAATGAGATTTTCCGGGAAACAATAAATTGTGGGTGGGGGGAAGAGCAGAATTTCTCCCGAATCACATCTCCCCAGCCGAGTCAAAGGCTGGTCTCCGGCTCCCATCCTGGCTTTGCTCTCAGGTGAAACCGCAGAGGCGGCTCCATGTTATCTGAGGCGGGGAAATGCCCTAAGACAGAGGCCACGGTCCTCCGCTCAGAGTTGGGCTGGACCCCAAGGCCCACTGAGCACAGCATCTGTCCTACCTCCTTGCCACACCCTTTGCAATATCCCTGGGTGATGTCTCTTCTTTTCATGGTTATGGGAAAGGCTGCAACACCGAAGGGCCAGACCAGCCATTTGCAAACATTCACTATCACACCGAGGAACTGACTGGAGAGATGTTGGTGTTTGCACGCTTGTGCTCAGAGCCCAGATCTAAGCCCTGGCTTCACCTTACCTGGAAATGCTCCGAGGTGCAGCAGTGTAACTTCCACACCAGGAGGTGGAAGTGGACTTAGGAAGGTCACTCCAAGAGCAGCAAATCAGGGGAAAATGATCTGCCACCACCAATGGCAGAATCTGGGCCAGCATCCTAAGGACCTGGCGAGGCCCACTCATTAGCCCGCTGACTGGTTCTCAACACCTTCACAATGCAGGTTTGTCAGTGCTGCTTCAAATTTACAAAAGGAGCTTATTATAATAAGATGAGCACTGATATACTCCTAACGGGAAACGCAGACCCCAGTGTTCTTCGAGGCCACCTCTGTAGGCAAACTGAGAGAGAGTGAGAAATGCCTGAGCTCCAGGAGCCCAGGTTAAGCTATATCTGATTTCTGAGTCATTGAAAAGAGACCCCATCATTTTCAAGTGCTTGTAGCAGAGGCCCAGCTCCTAAGTGGCAGGTAACAAAGATACTTCCCTCTGGATACATGGCGATTGCACACACTGGTAAACCTTGTGGTCCTGGGGTGGGAGAAACCTCAGGCTCCACACTGTGCCTTTCTGAATAGGCTTCTGGGCCACCCCAGGCAGGCAACAACAGACAGACCAACCAGGTGGAGATGCAGGACCCTAGGCCCCTGTCTTGCAATAAAGGAACTGTGCCCTCTTTCGGTCTCTACTGGAAGCATTTTAGAACACCAGATTTTGGCAGCAGCAGTTGAAGGACAAGTCCACTGCCCAGTGCACTGGTAACACAAAGTGTCCTCCTGGTTGGGTCCCACTGTGCTACATCAAGGTCCCATCCAGGGAGGAGGAAGAAGGAGCATGAACTGTCCTCAAGAGGTCATTTGCTAAGATCAGAGGAAGAAATACAAAGTCTGTTCTTTGCAGCAGCAAGAATTCTTTCGGCCTTTAGTTCTTCATATTGTAAAGCCAGCTTTGCTTGAATGTAAAGGTCCACCTTGCTGGTCGGTCTGCCAAGGGCTGGAGGGAGGCCAGACCCCTGGAATTGGCGAGGGGATGGAGGAACAGTGGACTGGCAGGGTAGACGGTTACTGGACCACGCCAGCCCATGGCTGGTGGAAGGACCAAGTCCCTGGTTAGGCTCCAGACGTCCGGTCAACGTGACTCAGAAGCGTCACAATGACAGCTATCGAAGAATGATAGATGGGCGGGTGAGAATCTGGCCAGACCTGCGGTTTCCTGCTGGTTGAGTGAGGAAGGAATGAGAGTGGGGGTGGACAATCTGAACGGAGCCATGGCGGTAGTGCGAGGTAACCACGGGGGCGCCCGGAGCTTCCAGCAACGCGCTGGGAGCGCCAACCTAGAACAGCGGCAGTAATTCAGCAGACTCACTAAGCCTACGATTAAAAAAGTCCTCTGATGATGAGTGGGAAGACAAACCCCATGAGCACCTTGCTACAGGACCAGTCGAGAGCACTGATTCCAGACACGTGGGGCTCAGAGGGAACCCCAAGTGCTATGCGAGGCCTCAGGACCCTGGGATCCGAACGTGGGAGCGGATACCGCCCTTTTCATGTTGGGTGGTTTTCTATTTAAACACATATTTCCTTTTAGTGTGTTTTTATTTGCGTTTTCTTCTTGCAAACAAATGTTCACTTAAAAAAAAGTACTTTTCTCTCCAGTTTCTTTCAAGTGTTTCTTAAAATTTCCTTCAGTTTCTTTCAAGTATCCTTTTTTTCTTCTGTTTCTCCTGAATAAGGTGAAAAAGACCTCACTGAAATCCCAAAACCAGACACGGGAAAAGCTTCTGTTCTCCCTGCTGACCCAGCAATGAGGACAAAATCTTCTGTACCCTAAGATGGAAGGAGGAGGTGCTGGTGTGCAACCAGCACGTCGCTGTGGCTGCATCATCGTGGGCAGTGAGAACACTTGGAGTGTGTCGTCCTCTCCCAGCCACAGGCTTGGCCACTGCAGCCACCCTATCACAAATTGGCCACTACATGGCTGGAGAACAGCAGGCAAGGAGCGTCAGATGGAAGGCCTTCTGCCCGCGGGCCGCCCAGAGCTACAGCAGGTGGGAGCTGGGCCTGGATGGAACCTGTGTGCATGTGGACCAGCAAAGCAGTCCCATGTCACCAGCTGCAGGACCCAGAGGAGCTTCTGTCCCATGCTGTGCATCTTGATGACCTACACCTGAAGGTCACAAGGGCAGCACAGCGAGGGAGGACTTAAGCACCTGGGAAACTGTTACCTCCGGCAAACTCCCATTGCACTGCATCTTCTGGTCCACCACCTCCCCCGGGAGGGACTGTCCCTGGAAGGAAGTGCCTGTTTGTACCAGATCCCTACCCCACCACATCCCACCCTCTGCCTTAGATGGTGAGGAGAGGGATGCAGCCCACACCGACCCCTCCCTCGTGACATGCCATAGGGGCCATAAACGTCCAGCGGTCCGTCTCGGGGTCGTACATCTCCACCGAGCTCAGGTTGGACTGTCCGTCATACCCCCCCACAGCGTAGAGACGCCCACAGCTGGCCACCAGGGAGACGCGACTCCGGCGCGTGTGCATGGGGACGATCAGGCACCACTGGTCTGCTACAGAGCTGTACATCTCGGCGATGCTGAGGAAGCCCGAGCCGTCGTAGCCCCCACAGACAAACATCTTGCTCCCCAGGGAGGCGGCTCCATGCCGGCAACGCTTGTTCAGCATGCCAGCTGCTGGGTGCCAGGTGGCGGTGTGGTGGTTGTAGTGCTCCACCTGTAGCAGGGAGAGAGGCACAGGCACAGGACAGTCAGAGCCAAAGCTCAGTCCATGGGGTGGCCTCAAGGGACACAATGGCCCATATGGTGTCAGCGGGAAGCCTGGGGACGAGGAGCTATACCAGCACGTGCTCTGGCTCTGATGCTGTCTCTTCAGCTGCACACCTGCTCTTGGGCTTATAGGGACAGGTGAGAGCGCCTAATCTGACCCCTTCATTCACATCTACAAAAACAAATGGAAGAGTTGCCCAAGGCTGCACTGCTATGTAGTGACAGCTGGATGACAGCAGGTCTCCAGAAATCTGTCCAGAGTGTGTTCCATCACAGCATTGATGGGCTCTAGAGAATGACTACTAAATGGCTGTTGAGGTTTTTTTAAAGAATAAATGCAATTTCAAACAAATTGCCCAGAAGAATACACTGTTTGCAAAGTCACACTCCATATGTAACTGAGCTCACGTTGGGTAGAACTCTCACTGGGTCTCACGCAGCGCTCAGTGGAGAACTAAGCGGGGTGGGGTGGGGTGGGGTGGGGTGGCTACGTTTCACCCTCCCTGGCCACACTGTCCCATTCTCAGAAAAATGTCAGAGCACGCAGCCGATGGCCTGAGACCTCACTACGTGACGCCTCACTCGGCCATGGCAAGGCTGCAGTTTTTTCCAGAGAACTGCCTTTCAAAATAACTCTCGAAGATGGCAGGACGCGGCGTCCTTAGCCCAGGAGGAGCCCACACTCACACTGTTGAAGATCTGCAGGCCGTCGTGGCCGCCCGACACGTGTATCCTGCCCTCAAAGACTGTGACCCCGGCAGCGCTGCGATTCGAGCTCATCGGGGTCACCACCGTCCACCTTCGGGAAAGAGCCACAGCAGAAGGAGTGCCATGAGACCCGGTGTCCCTACCCTCCCAAGACAGCGAGAGAAGGTTGAGCGCGCTGTGCTGTGTTCCCTCGTGCCCTGGACAATCTCTCCACCTCTTACCGCCTCTACCACCTGCCAAAGGCCTTCTCTGATGGCCGCCTCTCCCTCAGCTTCAGACGTGCAGCGGTCTTCTCTGCTTGTCTCTGTCGGTGCTCAAATCGGCACGTCCCAGCCAAGGCCTCTTACAGACCTGCTCCTCCCCTGCACCCCGGGTCTTAATGGGACCACCAGCTACCTAGTTATAATACTTGTAAACCCAGCATTTTTATGGCCTCTTCTCCCTCATGCTCAATGTTCTTGTGGTCACCAAGTCCCCGATGATTTGCCTCCTAGTCACTGCTCATCCCCACACCCTGGCTCTGGCCTCTAACCTGGACCATCATGACAGCCCCTACAGGTGGACTGTGCTCAGACCACTCCCATTTGGACCCTGCGTAGCATGTCCCTCCAGTGGCTCCTCACTGCTCCCTCTAAGGCAGAGTCCAAGTTTCCTCGTGTGGGACCTTGTCTACTTTCCAGCTTCACCTCCTGACATGTGCCATCCGGCCTGCTCCCCGATCACACTGTCTTATCTCTGAGCCTCTCTTCTTGCTGGCTCCCTGCCTGTGGTGCGCATCACCGTGATCTAGGATGCGTCTCCCTTCAGAAAGCATCTCTGCAACCCTGCCTCTCCTCGCAACCCTGGGGAAGATGAAGGCGTTCCCCATTCTGTGCCCAAAGTTCCAGACACAGGTCCCCAGGGTAGGGTGATCACAATGTGCCTGTGGCCCCAGAAGACTACGTGCTACCTAAGAATCTTAGACACCCTGCTTGCTGCCCGATTACATAAGCTAGTTCAGTGAACAGAATCTTGGCTTAACAGCACTCTGATGAACCGACTCTACTAATGTGCTTATGTTTTGTTACATAACATGAGAAGATTCAAGTACTGAAATGAAAAATCTGGGCTAGTGTTTTCCAAAGAGTGTTCCACAAAATAATTCTACAAGATGTGGATAGGTGTTATATGAAATGAGCTTAAATAGGTTTCTTTCCACAGAACTCTTCATTCTTTAAAATGTTAATATTGCATTACAGAAAGATAAGGACTTGTATAGACATCAATATTTCCCGAACTTTTTGACCATGTCACTTTTTTCTTTTTTCAAATCATATCCTGCCCACTTTGGAACGTGCTGTTCATCTATTTATTATTCCCCTTCCCTTGCATTTCCATTATAATGGGCTGATTTAGCTAAGAGGTAAAGAACACTAAATAAATGTTTCCAAGTCTCTATGAAGACTATCTGTTTTTAAAATTTATTTAATCATTAATTTGTTTAACCAAAGATTATTAAATGCCTATTATATGCAAGGTACTATACAAAGCTAAAAAGGTACTCTATCTTTGAGAAGCGTGATTTAAAAACTGCAGCTCTAATTTTTTATACTTTGTTTAGCAGGCTCCAGCTGCCCCAGGGGAGTTGAGCTCTTACTTGTCCGTCTCAGGTGAGTAGGTCTCCACAGAGTTGAGGGAAGAGTTGCCATCGTAGCCCCCACAGACGTAGATCTGCCCGTCCAGCACGACCGTCCCCATGGCACTGAAACAGACAGAGCTGTCATCCCAGATGGACCTCAAACTTCCTGGGGCACCCTTCATGATCCTGAGAAATAAACCTCCCACCTCCCACTGCTTCTTTCTAGAACAGACCTAAATCCCAGGTAAGTGATTAAGTAAAGGTGTCCAACTGAGGGGCGAGAAGCTTCCCTGTGGCTCCTCTCGCCTCCCACCCCCTGCCTGGGGGTGCCCGCCTCCAAGTCTTCTGTCTTTGCTCGCCTTGTTGTGCTGTGGTCTAATTTACTTTCAAGGCCCTGGTCAAGTTACTCGCTCTCCTCCTCAAAGAGCCACCCTAGACCCCTCAGCACCACTTACTCTCTCCCCGCCCTACTCTCTGGAGCAGCCTCTTTACTACTGCACTTGTCGCATCCACGCATCCACGCATCCATCCATCCATCCATCCATCCATTCATCGTATTTTCATTAGGCATGCTGGCACAGAAACTAGGTTTAGAATGATGAGCAAACCAAAGCCCCTGTCCACAGGTGCTTACATTCTGGCACCACAGAGTCCAGGAATTGACCTGCCACCTCTTCACATGTGGAGACCTCCTGGAAGACAGGGGTCTTCATCAGTGTGACCCTTACAGTGATTAGTGTGGCGCTTCACACATAACAGGCCCTCAACATGTTTGTCGTGTTACCCTGATTTTCCCATCAATTCGCTATAAAGTTCAACAAAGGTCTTTTCATTACATACACAGCTTTGCACAGCCCTCATTTGTCTCAGTGGGCGATGTGACAGCTCCCATTTGTAGTGCACTTACTAACTGTGTCAGGCACTCTGTGCTTGCTATTTCCACCCTCGCCACACCCTGCAAGGAAGCACCAGCATCCTGACTGCCGATGGGCAGCCGCGGCCTGCAGAGCTGGGCTCTCTTCTCTAGCTGCCCGGAGGGAAGCACGCCTCGGATTCAAGTGGGACAAGCCTGACTCCTGTGCTGTTCACCATGCCAGACTCTCCTAATACCAAAGACCCAGGGGTCTGGCGTAATCATAGTCTTCTGCTCTGCACAAAGCCTCATGAGAAATTAAGCATGAATGCCAAACTGCCCGATGCATGGTTTTCAAACCTGATGCTGGAGCAGATTAAAAATGAATCTCGGGGGTGGGTGGGAGGAGTGTCTAACAAACAGGAAAATACAATATACCAGGCTTATGGCCACATTTCAAATGTACATAGCAAATCAAACCTATCCGCACAATGTCCCTTTGAGGGACGTGGTAAAAGACCCCTTGAACCAGCATGAAGGAGGAAAAGCATTTGTCTTAGGCAAGGACCGTGGGAAGATCACAAATGCACCAGACAGGTCACTATCCTTCTAGAGCAGACACAAGTAACAGTACAGGAGTTCAACAAGAATATGAGAAAGAATCAAGAGGTGCCACAAAACTCCATGAGATGAACTATCAGCTAAGTGGTAAAAACAAGCGTGGAGAGATAAAGGGAATGCTGATCAGCGGGGACCGAGACTTCTGTGCGAGAAAGCGCCAGGGAGCAGCCCGGAAGCCTGGGGGGAGGGGAGGTGACGAAGGCAGAAATGGCAGGACAGAGAGCTGTGTGGGATGTCACGAGAAACGTGAAGGGAACATTTTAAGGTAGCCTATAATTTGAAGGAGATGAAATAGAGCTGGGCCCATGCTACTAATAACAGGCCATTAGCCACAGAGAGGGGACGAATGCCCAGAGGGCTTTCCTTCCAGACAACGCTCCAAAACCCCATGACATCAAAGCTAGGAAGTAGGCCAAAAGCAGACATACAAGGAAGAACTGATTGCAGTCAAAGCAAAATAGGCTCTCATGGCTGGGGATACAGAGCAATGAGCCATTTGAGGCCACAGAAACCTGCAAAATATCCAAGGAGCGGAAGGGGAGGCCCCGAGGTGGCAACGTGGGAGGAAAGCAGCACGAGCGGATCTTATATGTACACTTTTTTCCTTCAAAACAAACCTACTTTGACCCTTGGTGCATCTGGTCTTATTGGCACAAAGGCAGATTCCTCCTAGTTCAAGGCCACATGCTAACAGTGATAAAAGTGGAATGTGTATCACGGCTGTGACACTTTCATGTGGCAAAGGACACACACACAATTTTTCCTCACCACACGTGCAGTCACTTGATCATTTTTCCTGTGATCACGAGATCTGACAAATAGAGAACCCAATGCATGGCCAGACAAAGAGGTCTGTGAGGCAAGCCTTTACACCACGGAATTACAAAGCAAGAATCCCCTTAAACAGTAACCTGTCCAGTAGCTTTCAAACTGCCCCTTTCAAAAAAAAAAAAAAAAAAAATCGTGTCACTTTATGGCCTTAAAGTGGGGCATATGTCAAGGACGCTCACTATGTATAAGAGATGAACGAGGAGCTGTTTTGGTTAAGTGGGCAGGGGGCCTGGACTGCCTTCCTCTCCTCTGTCAGCCCTGGAAGAGAAACATCGGGGTGCCATTAGACACCACTGCCCCAGTGTGGCCTCTCCGAGGGCAGAAGAGGGGAAGTTCTGCGCCCCCTCTCCAAAGCTCCACACTCATCAGATGGAAGGAAAGAAGCTGGCTGTCACTCTGGCACTAAGAAGGCTAAATGCGGGCACTATTCAGATGTCCTCTTATCCCAATACTAATTCAAGAAATGTGAGCAGGCAAGTGATGGAGGAAACAAGCAGCTGGAATGTGCTGAGAGACATGTAGACTCAGTCCGCCTCCCCAGGACCTGTGTGCTCAGGCCTGGGGTACCGTCCAGTCACCAAGTAGAGAGCACTGCTGTGGCTCACCGCTCCCGGGGCGCAGAAGCACAGGCCTGGCAGGATCCGGGAAGGAAGTAAAGAAAACATCTTGGACTTCCTCTTATCGCTAGTAAAGTTAAATCCTCCTTGTTCGAGTTTCTTTCAATGTTAATCCCACCTCTTCCCTGAACCGTTCTCGGTGTTTCTGTCCAGGTTCTCTCCTTCATGGAATCTTCCATCATACATATTTTCAGGCACTTAAATAACAATACGACTTCCACACAGCCATGACTCATCTTTTGAGCAGATGGGGGCTTGCTCCTGGGGGTACCCGCCCAGCTGCAGGGACTCCCCAGGCCACAGCTTGTGTTTTATCTTATTACGTGTCCCCGTGTATCTAGCACGGTGCTCCCCAGATGCTCAGCGTGTGTGCTCGGGCTGCGCAAATGGCTTCCAGAATACCTTCTCTTGCTGTTCATGCTCCCCACTCGGGTCCACGTGTCCGTCTCTGGGTTGTAGACCTCCACAGTGCTCAGCCGCAGCTGGCCGTCATACCCCCCGATGGCATAGAGAAGCCCGTTCACCACAGCCACGCCGACGCGGCTGCGGGCCGTTGTCATGGGATGGCACTTCTCCCAGCGATTGGCGATGGGGTCGAATACTTCCACCACGTTCAGGGAATCACCTGCATAAAAATTTGCTACTCAAATTAAAACAAATGAGACCACTCGTTTAGATCACAGCTGTTGGGTACTGATTACATGGAACGATTGACTAGGTTCTATCGGCTCTTCCCACAGGATTTCTCGAGCCGGAAGGCTCACTAAGAAATTCCAGCCATGATAACCTCAAACCTAATTCTTTAAGAAAAATCAGAATCAGACGGGAGGCATTTACTTTCTAGAGAGGGCAATGTTTGAAGTTGCATGAGGTATTCCACCGCCTAAACCAAAGATGAGGCAGATGGATACATTACTTCCCCGATGCAAGGGGCAAGCCCAGAGGGAGGGCGTGGTTCCAATGCCCACTTTCACTTGCCAGCCCATGACCCTGGGCAGGAGACTTCATATCCCCATCTTCTGTCCTCGCAGGTGAAATGAAGATACTTTCTATGGCAGAGCTGCCGTGTGGATTAAATGACATAATAGGTAAATCACCTAGCATAGTTCTAGAATAGACTAGGTGCTCAATAAGCAGTAGTCAAAGTAGCAAGGACTGGTACTTCCAATCTTACCTTTGCATTAGGTTTTAGTGGGGATCAAATAAAAGACTTCTCCTCCCTGTTTTATTCTGCGCTGGGGCACTTAGCACCTGCCACATCATAGCATCGACTAGTTGAGGAGTTATCTTTACCAGGTCATATGGTTAAAGAGTAGGACAAACTAGACCTCTTATTAACTTTCAATTAAAAAATTGCCAGACTGCCCACCAACTCCCCACTCCCACAAACCTGGACTGGCACTGTGAAAAGGCCTGGCCTCCACATGAGAGACAACACCTCCCTGTGCCATTGTACCGCCAGGAATCAGGTGTCCATACTGCCCTCTCTACTAAACCTCTACTGCCCTGCAATGGTGCCTGGGCAGGAAGGGTGGGAGGGGTTCCCACAGACCTTCCCTGAAAACTTAACTGTGTGACACAAGACCTGCCAACAGCACACAAATCGTAAAGCATGTGTGTGTGTCACAGGAGCTAAGAGGTGAAGAGTATAAAGTACTGACAGTGGAGAATCATCCTTCTTATGGTGACGTCCTCAGTCTAACCCCAGGGATCCATACAACCAAATGTGATCAGCCTGGTGACACAACTGGGTCTCTGACTATATCCTATCCAG